ATTCTTTTCCTCCCACAAGTGAGCTGGGGCAGGGGGAGTGCTCGGGTCCCGCCGGGTCACAGCTTTGTGTCTCACCCTTTTCGTGAGATCCTGAGTTCTCACAGATGTAGATGTAGCCTGGCTGTTGTACTGTATCTCCTGGTCTTTTAGGAATAGTTGTATTTGCTGTATTTTCAAAATATATATGGTCTGGGGAGATTTCTGTCGCCCTACTCATCCCGCCATCTTGAGAAATCTCGAGAGCTTGGTTTTCTTACTGTCTCTGCTAGCTGGAACATGCAAGTGTTGCTTGCATCTGACAGCAAGCAGAACTGGCTGGGGATTGCAGATAGGGAATGACAAGCAGCGTTCTCTTGGTTCGACCATGCCAGCTGGTAAGGGATTTTTTTCTTATGCCTCCTGGTCTTTAAGGGGCCTTTGTCACCTCGAATTTCATTCTCAGTAGAGCTGGAAACATTCCATTTCAGTAACCCTTGCCTGTCACAGAGTAGTGGATGTCTGACGGGAGGCATCTCATGTTCACATGGCAAACTAGAGATACTATTTTCACTGATACCATTCTTACTCCCTGTGACAAAGAAGGGTTTGCTTCCTTAGACTAACTCTGGGAGTGAATTTTCTGGATCTTGTGAGGACTGCATCTTTCGGACCCTCTTTCGGCACAACTTTTGCATCCAGGCTTGTTGGTTTCAGTTGCTATTGAGATAAATACACATTGAAGATCCTACTTGTCAATGGCCAGATGATGGATTTTTTGAATTGGAAAAACCCCTATACTTGAACATTTTTAGAGAGCTCTTGGCCTAAAACGAACTATCTTCTTGTTACCTATAGAAAGATCCTATTGAAAACAGGACACAAAGGAGTATGATTGCTGGCCTTAGGGACTCCTTGACAAGATGAAATTACCAAGCAATTTTTACCTCCACTTTCAGAAGATACTACCACATTTACAAAAGAGCTAAAAAGATTAGGAGCTCATTCACAATTCCACTGACAAGGAACCTGACAGGCTGCTAATGGGTGTTCTTCCAATCCATGATTATATTGTAGGTCACAGACAAGCCAAGTGGCCTCCTCACAGAGGGAACAAATGACCAGAATTTTTCCTAGATCCTCCTACAAATGATCAAGAAATAGATCTGCTAGAGGTTCATATTCAGGGGCTGACAGAAGCAATACTAAAGGGTTTCCACCTATGATTAAGTGATCCAAGTTTGAATTCTGCACTCAAAGAAAAAGGAGAGCCTTTAAAATCCTGTTGAATGCTTTATACAGAGGCATAATGCATTTAACTGCAAAGCTCCAGAATGAGGATTCTTTTGATCGCCATCTTAGTTGGAGATGGTATGAAGAGGCAGGTTGAAGATAATGTAGTTGGATAGGTGTGTCAATGTCTGACATGAATCAGGCTTCAATACAGTTCTTTGAATAGTTAAAACTGTCTTTGTCTTACAAGTCTTCACAAAACCAGAATTGAATATCTAGAAGCAATTCAAAGTCCACCTATCCATACCAGGCTCCAAGTCCTCCCCTATTCATCTCAAAATGCTTGCAGATATTATGAGATCAGGACATTGGAAACAGAAGGAAAGTTTTAAGTAGTAATTACCCTAGACCTCTGGTAATAGAGAAATATACCCCAAAACTCCTGGAATACTTGGATATATTTTCTGTGCCTCTGAGATGTATATTTTCTACTCCTATCTCCTGTAAGACCTGAGAGGCATTTCTTAGAAATGCAAAATTTAGGGAAATGATTCTCATCAGAAAGGGCAAAAAGGGGCTACTGGGAAATTGGGAAAATAAAAAATACTAAGAGTCTTCTCCACAAAGTGCTTTTTTAAAGATTTAGCAATGTGAGTGAATAATCTTCACTTTTTCCGTCTGCCAGAACACAATTTAGATGCAACTGTTCTTTAGAACCAGTGTGTTTGGGGTTATTGTTCTTGACTCATGACTGAAATTCTAAAAGATCTATAAGGTCTCTGCATCTGTCTGTATATTTATGTGTGGAAATGTGTACACATGTATCTGTATACATATTTTACAAATGTGATATTTTTCTATCTCTGGATGGTATCGCCAAGATTAGTTTGTAAACAAGCTCTATATAATTCCTGGAAAATAAGCACTATGTAAGTATTTCTAGATCTTTAGAAATATAGAAACTAACCCAAATTTTTTTCAAGCTCAAGTAACCTGGGATAATCTTTGGTAAATAAGAGTAATTTAACTTTCTTGGGTTAATTAAAATATGTCTTCAGTGTTATTAACACCAAATATAATGCATGCATTCAACTTTTATTCCACTTGGGTTCACTAGTCAAATAAATTCACGTGATCTCTGTTACAAAACCTGTCAGCAAGAAAAATAGAAATGGATGATGGCTGACTGACTAATATCTCAAAATTTTCATGATTAATGTAAACAGAATTGTTAAGAATAAGGTTATTAAATATAAGTAGACTAAAACTTTCAAGTAAACTTCTCAACAATAATTATGCTTTATGGTTTGTCTACTTAAAAACAGTTAACCAAATCTCCTTGGCAACTTACACCTTTAAGAGTTTTGCTAAGCTAAATGATAGAAACTCACTGAATATCTTAGATCATTTCCAAATAAAATAAAATACTGAAATGTTAGTTACTCAATATGTTTGCCTACTTTTGCACCCTATTGCAGAGAAATGAAAGATATTTGGATCTGTTGGTAAACAAGTCCTGTGCCACATTGAAATATTATCCTATAGTATGTTTCTGGACATCATGAAATTTACTTGTAAATTTGCCCATCTAAATATTGCTGGTGTACATGGTTGCTAGTCAGTACACAACTGCTTGTTTTCACTTGAAAATCAGGTTTCTAAGAGTTAAGAATGCTTACTAATACATGTAATTAAAACTAGTACAAGTAAGGAAAACAACACTATTATGATACCCTCACTCCACACTCCATGGCACCAGCTTCCCTACAATATGTAGGATGGAAGCCAACTCCCCATCGAAGTCTCCCTCCCTCCCCTTGCTTATGCCTAGCTGTCAACCTACTCTCCTCTTCGGCAGGATCTCTGAGAATCCCGTTTGAGGCCCCCTACTGGAGTCACCTTCAAATCATTTGGAGCGCTTGAATTTTTTAATTGTGAAATTTAAAAACTATTCAACAGTATCAGGCTGCAGAATCATCAGTGCATGCAAGATACACTTGATACCCCAAATTTTCGTGTTTCCAGAATGTGCTATGTGGTAGCAGAACAAAATCCATTTATAGGTGTGTCACATATGAATTCTACCTGTTGAAGATGGGGAAAAGATTTCCTTCCCCTCCCATGTATCAGAGCATGTATTTTAGAAACCTACAGGTACTCACGCCTTTCAAGTACTTCCTGTTGAAGACTACACAGGCCTGTCACGGGAAGCTCTTTTTTCCCTCCAACTTTATGACCCAGGAATATACTTTGAAAGAAACCTAGACCAATCTCTTTAAAATGCAAACATCCCCAGAGCCATTACTTGAACTGCGGTATCAAAAGGAGGCGGCTCCCTTGCCCCACAGGCTCTGCGGGAGGGGAAGGGCCTAACTCTGGTGCTCAGCGACGGTTTGTCTTTCCTCTGGATAAACCCAAAAGGCAAACAGAGCGCCGCCTCAACGGCCAGGTTAAGTTAGGACAGACTCCGTGGGACAAACGGTATTATCAAATCTTCCTACTTGAGGACTATTATCTACCTTAAAAATATGTGTGTGACGGGTTGTATCTTCTTAAATAAAGGGCTGAGAATTCTGCTTTTGAAATTCTTAGGAGACCGCTTTTGATATGCATAGAACTCTGGCTTAATGTTTATCTAATAAGATGTTTTCTCTGTCTACTACCTTTGTGAGGATTTCTGGGTTGGGATATTATGCTTTATTTCCCATACTAATCATCACACGACTGTCTGCAGGAACCCAACTTCATTTCTCATCCCATTATCTCGTGTACAGGATTATGGGGAAGGCTAAAATAAACAGTATCAGATTAAGCCATATAATACATATTTTTTAAACATTTTTGAAAGTGAGAAAACAGTATTGAAATCATACTTAATATTCTTAAATACTTTTGTGTAACAGTTATTAGGGTTAAGGAATGCTTCCATTCTGAAGAGATTATGCATTAAATGACATGCCGGAATTATAAGTAAACTAACCCACTCATGTACACAAGGATAGCTGAAAAAAAAAGGATGGTCATATGATACTGAGGAAAGATTTGGAAGGGTTTCTCTCATTTCAGAACACAATTTCCAATTCTGTATATAAATATATCATAGTTTTTTAATGTTGAGGATTAACTTTGAAAGGGAGGAAAGCAAATTTTTGCTTTCAGGGTATAAACGTTCATCTAAACATCAAAATATTATTTTAAGCATGTGCAGTTTGAGTCAATTTAAATGGTTTTAAAAAACCAAACATTAAAAATGTCTCCCTTCCTTATTTTTTATGTTCTTGAGGTCATTTGCAGCTGTTGTGTCAGTATGCTAGAGCAGAATAGTGGTGGGCTACTGGCAAAACTATCCCCAATTCTATGTTCAATGACATCATGTTGGCAGTTTTAAACTGGCCGCTGTGGCAGTGTTTACGTCAAGGAAATAGAAGAACACTACAGATCATGGGTTTACACATGGTATCGTTGAGTATCTCGAGTTAAAGTGATCAAGAATGTGTTCACTGCAGATTGAACTTAGAAGCACATGCTGTATGTGGCCACTGCATTCTGTATGAAAGAATGTAGGAAAGAATCCCATATTTAAAAACAATTATTCCTTAAGCAAAGTCACATCACAGAAGATGAAGTTCCAACAAAACTTTGTTGCCTCACTTTGTTAGAGAAAAGGGAAAAGACCAAAACTCATTTTAAAAAACTATGTATGAACATTTTAACAAAGATATACAAATGGTAACTAGACAAATAAAAGTTAAAACATAATGAAACAACAGAGAAATACAACCAAAGCCAGTGAGATAAGCTTACACATTTATTTGAAGGGGAAAATTTAAAAATACCAAACATAGCCACTTTTGGCAAGAATATGGAAGAACCAGATGTCTTCACACTACTGACAGGAATACAAAAGGGTCCAACCACTGGAGATGAATCACAGCCTGGCATTTCTTAAAGAGATGTCTATTCACCCACCCTGAGACTCGGGCATTGCACTCCAAAATATTAGCATGAGATAAATGAAACACATGTATATGAAAAACTGGTTTCATATACTCTATAGTGGTTTTATTTAAAATGGTCAAAAAATGGAAAACTCAATGTGCATAAACAGATGCAAGACTAGGGGCACATCCACACAACACGATACTTCTCAGCAATACAAAAAGGATGAACTACTCATATCCACACCACTGAGATTCCCAAAATGAATAAGCCAAATGAGGCTATTCAGGGAAAAAAATAATAAACACTTTGAGAAGAATCAAATAAAATTCTAGACAATGGGAACTAACATAGTATAAGGGAAAGTGAACTACTGGTTGCAGGGAGGGTAGCAGGAGGAGAGATGTATTATGTAAGGTGACACACAATACCTCATGTATTATAGGGTACTACGGAGCGTTGGAGAGGTTCATCACCATGACTGTGGTGGTGGTTTTGTGGGTTTAATGAATATCAAAACTTATGCAATAGTACAATTTAAATATAACAAGCATAGCATTTACGACTTAGTAAGGCTCTAAAAATATGGTTCAAAATAAAATTCAGGATTTCCTACAACTCTAGATTATCAACCTGGCAAACTGTATTGCTTCCAGCACCCCTTTGCTTGAGCCTTGCAAGGACACCTTACCTCTGGCAGCAAATACTGGCCAGCAATAAGGCAGTTTCCACCTGATTCAACAGGAATGACGGCTGGAGAAAAGGCCACAGAGCTGGCCTCTGTCCTTATTTTCCTGCATAGCAATAACCTTGAGGTGAACAGCCCAGAAAGGCTAAGGAAATCATAAAATATTTAGATTTTTTCCTCTCATAATGACCTCAGTACACAAGATCCATACTTCTGGAGGACTTAAGAATTTGTTTCTGCTCATCCTTTAGGCATAATGACTGGAACTTACTGCATGCCCCTTTAAAGGAAGTTTATCTCTGTGGAAATCTCTTCCCCTCCCTATAAATCCAGTGTTTCTGTGAAAGTATGAGTGCCTGGCCCATACAATCACATAACCTGCAATGCTACTCTATGGCAATTTGGACATCAGGGAACATGGCTCCACTGCAAAAACCCAGGGAACAGGTTCTCCTCACCAGTGCTGAGCACAATGCAACACCTGCTGTAAATACGAAAACAATTCCATGTTTCTCTCAGAAGCACCAAGGGTATCACAACTGCCTCCTTCACAGACTAATGTCTGGGCCCACAAAATACCATGGTATCCAGGCTACAAATTGGACCACAATTTCCTGCATTCTTGGAGGCCTTGGGCAGCAATGCAAACTAAAGCAGAACTGGAGAGTGCTGTATTCTGCCATGATACTGTCCCCCTTTGAGGCACACAGTTTGGGATCCCCAAAACAGCTGTTTACCCCTTTGTGTTAGCAGAACCCAGTTGATATCAAATCTCCACATCCAGTGAATACAGCCACAAGACTAAAAATGGCTTAAAGAGTGAGGCCTCCATTTCCACACAGCAACAGCAATGGGAGGCAAGCTGCACCTGGGCTGGAGTCTTTGAAGGGCAGGAAAAATTCCATCACAAGAGTCATGAGATGAAAACAGAACTGAAAAAGGCAGCTCATGTTTTCAGGTCACCAGTGGAGTCTTCCGGACCAAAAACTGGTCAGGTCAGTGACATGATTTCTCAGAGAAAGAAACTATAAAGGAAAGAATATTCAGGGTTCTTACACATCCTTCCCATACTGGGGAAACACTGAGGTTTGCTTCCCTGGACACACTGTAGCAGGGAAATGATGAGCACCAGAACCATCAGAACTGTAATCTGGCAAAGGTCCTGGGAAGATTAAAAAGTGCAATGCAACTCCCACAAATCCGGAATGTACTTGGTTTATCAAGTATCTGAAGGTCAAGGCAGAAAGCACTCTCATAAAGGGATCCCCCAGTGTGTCTATACCAACAAGAAATAACACATTTCTAGCACATCTATTGTTTTTCTGAAGTGAATTTAGTGGTACCTGATGAACTGAAGGCAATTCCACAATCAGTGCACTCATAAGGCTGTGTTTCAGTGTGAACTCTCCAGTGTATAAAAGGCTACGGTTTGGGCTACAGGATTTCCAACATTCACCATACTCAAGGTCATTATCAACTGTGATTATGCATTTTTATGAGACTGAAATCATAATGGATTTTCCACATTTATTTCATCATAAGAACTTTGTACACTATGAATGCTCCTGTGCTTAATGAGGCTGGAGTCTTTTACAAAGCACTTCCCACATTCCATGCACTTATATGGCTTTTGTCCTGTGTGAACCCTGTGATGGTGACTGAGTGAAGAACTTTGGCTAAATGCTTTTCCACATTTGCTGCACTCATAAGGCCTTTCTCCAGTGTGAAGTCTCCTGTGTCTAATGAGTCTAGAGTTTTCAGCAAAAGATTTCCCACATACAGTACACTCATAAGGCTTTGATCCAGTGTGAATTCTCTGATGCTGACGGAATGCAGAGCTGTGGCTAAAACTTTTTCCACATTCACTGCACTTGTAGGGTCTTTCTCCAGTGTGAATTCTCTGATGTGCTAGGAGTGTAGCTTTTTGGCTAAATGATTTACCACACTGGTTACATTCATATGGCCTCTCTCTGGTGTGAACTATGAGGTGCATAGTGAGATTGGACTTTTGGCTAAATGATTTCCTACATTCCCCACACTCATATGGTTTCTCTCCAGTGTGAACTCTCTGGTGTTGAGTAAGTTCAGACTTTCGCCTAAAGGATTTCCCACATTCCCAACATTTATAAGGTCTTTCTATAGTATGAACACTCCAATGCTGAATTAGGATGGTCTTTTGCCCAAAAGATTTCCCACATTCCCCACACACATAAGGCTTTTCTCCAGTGTGAACTCTCTGGTGTCTAAGGAGTGAAGAATTTTGGCAAAATGCTTTTCCACATTTGCTGCATTCATAAGGTCTTTCTCCAGTGTGAATTCGCCTGTGTTTAATGAGTCTGGAATTTTCAGCAAAGGATTTTCCACAGTCAATGCATTCATAGGGCCTTAAACCAATGTGCCTTCTCTGATGTTGACAGAGTGCAAAGAATCGGGTAAAAGACTTTCCACATTCACTGCAATCATAAGGCCTTTCTCCAGTGTGAACTCTCTGATGTTGAATGAGGGCAGACCTCTGAACAAATGATTTATCACATTCCTTGCACTCATATGGTCTTTCTCTAGTGTGAATTCTGTGATGTATAATGAGGTTGGACTTTCGTGTAAAGGACTTGCCACATTCCCCACAATCATAAGGCCTTTCTCCAGTGTGAACTCTCTGATGTTCAACGAGACTGAAACTTCTGGTAAATGACTTCCCACATTCTGTACATTTGTAAGGCCTTTCCCTCGTGTTACTCCTCTGCTGTTCAACAAGGGGAGACATTTTAGGTAATATTCCACATCCTTCAGAGTCAACAGTTCTTTGACCAGCATGAACTTTCTGATGTTGACTGAGGCTGCTGCTTCTGCTAAAGGATATCCCACATTCACTGCACATAAACCATCTTTCTCTAGTGATCAGTCTCTGGTGCTGAATAAGTGTGTGTCTGCAGCTCAAGGCTTTTGTGCATCCTTTCCAGTTGTTATGAGTTATTGCCCTCTGAATGTCTACCCCACACTCTGTCCCACCACACTCTGTCTGACTGGTTGACCCCTCATTGGTGTAAGTGGCCTGTGGCTGGAGAAATTCAGAGCTGGCCAAGAAGTCCTTCCCAATCACCCTGAACATAAATGGCTTTCCTGACACATTGCATTTGCAGTTCTTCACAAACGAGGCTCTGTCCACATGGTTCCTGAAGTGTTTCTCTCCAATACACTGCTTCTGGTGATGAAAAAAGTTTTCCCTGACATGCAGTTGTTTCCCATATGCCTCACACCTGTGAAGTTTCTGCCTGTCAAGTGTTCCCTGGTGCTCAACCAAGTGCAAAATGTCTCTCAGGATCAGGCCACACATTTCACAGGGATGGGCCTTCTTGGAAGAGAGAGCAGCCTTGGGAGTCCTGACTTGTGATATCCTTTGTACAGAAATGCTGTGCTCAAATGGGACCTCTTCATTCGGCACTCCATGGCAACAACCTGAAAGCAAGAAATGTTGGCAAAGTGCATGTTGATTTTCGTGAATGGGGGCAGCCACACACAAGTGAGTATCTGACACATCCAAGAATGCATATGTGTGATTATTTACAGGAAAAGGAGTTCGGTTCAGGTTGATGATGGGTCTTTTTTCACTATAAAGAGCACACAATGGAAGGGGGGAGACCACATGAGGAGAAAGACAACCATGTGGTACACCACAGGGAGGAGAGACAGGCTATACACTCATTCCTCTGCAAAGAACCCTCAGCAGAACCCTGTCTGGTGGTGACACATGAGTGCAACACAGATGGGTATCTCCAATCCCCAAAACTAGGACTGCAACAAGGCAGCTGCTGGTGAGAGAAGTTTTAAGAATGGGTACACATTTCAACACACAAAATATATAGGCCAACATGGGAAACTGCTGTAGATGAAGCACTGAGAAGAGTAGGTAAGAAAGGCAGTCCAGAGATGTGACAATTAGCCATAGGCTGGACTGAGAGTAGAAGTGACAAAATGTAGATTGGATAAGTGGGTCATATAAAGAATAGGGCAAAAAAGGCAGAAATAGGGTATAGCCATTGGTATCAGCACCAAAATGCTAGTTGACCAGAACAGCTTTTTGGATCATCTGAACACAGCACTGATGTCATGCCCTATCCCAGTGAGCCACTGGTCAGGGCCAGGTTCACTCTGAGACCATTTTGCTGAGTCTGGACACATATCCAATCTATGGAAACCAAAGACTCCTGACCCCACTCCCAAGCATATAGGAACTGGATAACGCAAGTACCACACACAGGCAGCTAGTGCTGACCCGTAGCAACCTGGCACATCAGAGCCCAGGAAGAAAGTAAGTATCACAGTGAGAATTTGCAGGGGGTGGGGTCTTGTAAGAACAGAGCCCACAGTCCACATCACAGAATTAATTCCTGGCATAGGCAGATATGAGGGAATGCCAGGTAGAGTAAGGAAATAGGATCTGGAGCACACATATGCCATGGATCTGGACAATGTCACCCAGCAAGGAAGAGGTCGGGTAGATGGGATAAATTAAGCTGAATGTCAAGACTCCTGACCCTGAATCCTACTCTGGAAGGCTGCAGGGAGGCAGATGTTGGGCATGTTCAGAGAGGAGAGGGCAGCATACACCCCTCAGCCCAACCAGCCACAGCACCTGCTCAGGAACTGGGGAAGGAAGGAGAGCCCAGGGTCCTGATATGAGGATGACAGACTTGTCTCTGGGGAAAAGGAAAAGGCAGAGACCCTCATGGCACAGAGGAGGGTGAAGGCCTTACCTAGGGAGGTTATAACTGCCAAGTTCTGCAGCATCACATCACGGTACAGGCGTCTCTGAGTCTCATCAAGGAGCCCCCATTCCTCCCAGGAGAAGTAGATGGCCACATCTTCAAACGTCACATTGCCCTACAATGGTGGTGAGAGATGAAACGACAAACTGTCCACTCTCAGAAGCCACAACCCATTTTCCCACAATCTATATTATGACTATCCATTTCCCAAGCATCCCAACTCAAAGGAGAAATCAGGCCATGGTGGTGGTGTCCCCTCTTGGCCCCACTGAGGACTGGGGTGGAAACACAAGAGTTAAGTAGACAAATACATATCTAAGCTGTGGGCCTGGTTTACAGTCATCAATACGATTATGACAAGTGCTTCCCTTGGTATGATCAGTGTTATGTAATCATCAATGCAGCAACCTGCACCCACCAGACATGCTCCCCCTCCAGCCATGCATTGTTCTTTAGACTCCACATCTCTCAGTCTCCATATCCCACAGCTACACGTCCATGGCTGCCCCCACCTCACTGCCCCACACCATCTAGATTAGCCCCAGACAGCATTCACAGCACACTTGGCAAATTCAAACAGGATCAACTATGACCAGACTTTCAGAGGTTCCCAACAGCAGTGTCATTTCAAATCACTACATAAGCACCTCACTGTGTAGCTGTTCTTTGCTTCATACTTAGCCACACAGACCCTCCTGTGGACCTCAGAAACCCAGAGTCCAAAGCTGTCTGTGATGCACCTGCTATCACTTCAGCAAATACAAATTTTCTCTGTTCCCCAAAACTTCATTCAAAGACCAGCCCCAGTAATTTCCCACCCCAGGCCTAAAGATCTCACAGGTAACTGCATTTGCTCATAAACACATACCAGGCTGAAACATCCCAAGGCCCCAGCAAAGTCATCACAAAATCTTGGTGAGCCAGACAAGAGATAATAAGTGTTAGCAAGGATGTAGAAAAAAGGGAACCCCATGACTCTGTTACACTGTTGGTAGCAGTCACTATGGAAAACAGAAAGGTTCCTCAAAAAGTCAAAAACAGAAATACCATGCAACCTAGCAATTCCACTTCTGGGAATTTACCAAAGGAAAACAAAATCAGTAATTCAAAAAGATATCTGCACCCCCATGTTTAATGCAACAGTTTTAACAATAGCCAATATATGGAAGCAATACCTAAACATCCATTGATAGATAAATGAGTAAAGATGTGGTACATACATGCAATGGAATATTACTGGGCCATAAAAAAGAATGAAACCTGCCATTTGTGACAATGTTGATGGACCTAGAGGGTATTAGGCTAAGTGAAATAAGTCAGAGAAAGACAAATACCATATGATTTCATTTGTATGTCGAATATAATAAAAAAAAAACCAACCCAAATGAACAAAGCAGAAACCTAGTCATAAACATGGAAAATAGGGTAGTGGTTGCCATAGAGAAAGGGTTGGAGGGATGGGTAAAATGGGTGAAGGGGAAAAAAAGGGACAAACTTCCAATTATATTAAGTTACAGAGATGAAAAATACAGCATAGGGAACATAGTCAATAATATTATAATCTTTGTATGTGACAGCAGGTACCTATACTTACAGTGGTGAGCATTTTGTAATAGATATAACTACTTTTTTAAAAAGTTTTGGTCATAGAGCGGTAAATAAGCACCAGCTCTGACCTGAGTGTCATTTTGGGACAAATATTCTTATGCCTCTGCATCTATCTGATACCCACTTTTCCCTCAGAAGCCTCAGCCACCTGTCAGTCTATCAAGTCTGTACACCAAGCTTTCACAGACACCTATCTACCTTAACTATGTTTATGAAGCCCAACACCATCAGCCAGGTACCCAAACAAGTGAACCAGTCCTTATTCAGTTGGATCTCTAGGAATATGCAAATTCCAGTAACGAACGATGGGTTAACCCCCACACCCACCTTTTCACATTGTTTGCCAGTAATGGGGAACATGGACTTAGGACCCCTGGGCTTGGGGTTTCTCTAGGGCCCCAGACTCAGTAACTGGAGGAAGACCATTAAGACTCCAAGCATACCACAGTCCAGAGAACAGAGAGATGAGGGTTGGGCCAGCGGGGAACAGGGGTACCCTTCACTCACCTGCTTGGGTTCCAGACGTGCTTCTGCAGTCATGGGGACCTGTGAGTAGAGGCACATGAAGAATGGCTCCATGCAGGATTTCATGGGCTCACCTCTCCACATACCTTCCCTGGCCCTGGAGCCAGGTGACTTCAGGCCAACTGCCTAACCTGTGGGCCTCGTAGTTGCCTCTTACCCGCAGTGCGACCCTGAACAAAGATTCAGCCTCCCAGTGCCTCAATGTCCTCATCACCCCTCCACCCTGTCCTTCTTTTGAACTGCCTTTGAGAAAGTTTTAATCTCTGACGTAGACCGTGTCTCTCCTTTGTTCGAAGCTCTCTGGTTCCCAGAGTCCTCACAGCAAAAGTACAGCCCTCGGCGGGCTCTTCCAGGATTAGGCGCCTCCCAGGGCTCCCTGCGGGCGGAAGGCCGCCCCAGGTTCCCGGATGCCCGAGTCCTCCCGGCTCGGCCCCAGCCCCGGCCTCCGCATGCGCGGGTCCCCCCGCCCGTAACGGGCCCCACGCGCCGTCACGCCGGCGCTCAGGACACTAATCTCTGACGTAGACCGTGTCTCTCCTTTGTTCGAAGCTCTCTGGTTCCCAGAGTCCTCACAGCAAAAGTACAGCCCTCGGCGGGCTCTTCCAGGATTAGGCGCCTCCCAGGGCTCCCTGCGGGCGGAAGGCCGCCCCAGGTTCCCGGATGCCCGAGTCCTCCCGGCTCGGCCCCAGCCCCGGCCTCCGCATGCGCGGGTCCCCCCGCCCGTAACGGGCCCCACGCGCCGTCACGCCGGCGCTCAGGACACGGGCCCCGCCCACGAGCGCCTCTCCGTCCCGGGCCCGGGGCCTGGGCAGCGGGGGCCCGCACTCGGGGCCCGAGGGTGGGTGAGTGGGCTGGGGAGGCCCGGGGACGGGCAGGTACCTGAGGCGGGGCCCCCAGCGTGGCCGCCGCCATCGGGCTCCGTGGACGCAGCGGGGCCGGGCGGCGGGAGAAGAAGCGAACCTGGCGCGGAGCTCCTGGGCGGCGTCGCCGGGCGTCAGACCCGCCTCCCCGCCTAGCGGACGGCGCCTCCTCTCGGACCTTCTCTGACAAGAACATACCACAGGGCAGCCAAGATGACGGCCTCGGCATGGCACCGGAAGCCCCGCCCCAACCGATGTGCTCAAACGGAAAGGCCTCCTTGCTGAGCCGTCGTTGGCTCTACCACGCTGTCTTCAGCGCACGGCATTCTGGGAAATGTAGTCGTCAGAGCCCCCAAGCCGTGATAAGGGGCTTCACCACCTGACTCCAGGAGAAAAGGCCAAAGGGCGCTGGGAAATGCGGCGCCCCTGCCGGGTGGCTAAAAACAAACGAAATCCTCCCTAGATGGATCAAGGTGGGTGTCTGGGAAATGCAGTCTGAGTCTTATAATTCAAGCCTCCAGGCCGTGAATTAGGATGACAAATCTTCAAGACGGGTGTGGCAGATATTTTCCCAAAACTGACCTGCCATTTTCTTCTGAAATGCACCCGAGGCACCCAAAGTTTGGGATACTACCAAAGTTGTAATGTTTGCAGAGCCCATATCTGTTTATAAACCTCCCCACATAGTGAATAAAACCCCCAAGATTAAACAGAATTTACATAGTAAGGTCTCTCTTAGCGCACAAACCAAAACAATATGTGTCAGGCAGTGCTCAGGTTGGTGACTTGTGAGCTGGAAAAACTCACCACAAGTATAACATTGAGACATGGACCACAGGTTTAGACAGAGTAGGGTGAGGGCCTCTGGAAAAAGCAAGGCAAGATAATTAGTCAGAGCAACGTAACAACATGCAAGGAAACCCCCTACCAAAACTGTGTTAAACATCAAGCTCTAGAGTCATCCTTCAGTAAGATCAGTTAATATTCCCTAAAGGAAAACAGCCCATGTTTTTTATTATGCTAATCACTTGTAATTATGCTAATCATGTGTAAGATTCACTTTAGCATGCTAAAAGGCCCAGGCCTATGTTCTGTCTTTCCTCCTTCAGACCTGATGAGGTGATTTGCAATTTGGGCAATCAATAATGGCAAGGGTGAAAGGAAAGGAGCAACACACAGCAGCAATTCACTGGAGAATTCCGCTTTATTAGGGAAAGGTGCTGGGTTATATAGGAAGGGGCATGAATTGATTGAGGTGTCACTTCTACGGGGCTGGTGGCTGTTGGCTAGGTGCTGGGATTGGGAGGGAGGGCGAGAGGTGATTGGGCTTCAGGTGGCGCCGGCGGGAACCGAGGACCCCGAAGAGAAGCCGGAAGTTTGCCATCTTACTGGTGGGGACCCTTCATTCCCCCCTTTCTCCTCTATGGGTTTGTGGACGTTGCTTTCTCTCTGGCTGCTTCCTGCTGAACAGGGGCGGAGAAGGGAGTGAGGGCTTGAGGATTGGGAGGAAAGGGTTGATAGGACTCCCCACAGTAAGGATGAGTAGATGTGGACTTCTTCAGGTTGGAAATCAATGAAGGTTCCCTGTAACCATAGGTTGGCCAAGAGGATATGGGTGTCAGGAGCCAGGCGTCTGCGGCTATTGTTTCCAGGAACAGTTTCCAGTGGAGAGAGGGGTCCATCTCAGCGTGTGGTGAGGAGGTCACGTGAGGGTGAGGGATCTTCTGTGGCCAGAAGCTGGTAGTTCCTGAGTAAAAGCTGGTTGAAAGCTTGATTAGAGATTTTTCCGACTTGGGATTTGATGAACTTTATTATACAGGGTAAGAAGAGACAGACGAGAAGAATGACTATTATGGGGCCTGCAATGGGCCAGAGCCAGGTGAGGAGGGGGTTTGTTAGTATTGACGAGAATGGGTTGGAATTGGAAGCAGAGTGGAGACTGGAGGCAAGGTCGGTGAGTTTGGTAATGTCAGTTTCTACAATGCCAGATTCGTTGATGTAATAGCAGCACTCTTCCCAGAGGAAGACGCAGGTGCCGCCCTTCTCGGCTGTAAGCAGATCTAGGGCCCGCCGGTTTTGAAGGGTGACTTTAGCTAGCGAAGTGACCTGTCTTTGGAGAGAGGCTAGGGAATCGGCAGTGGATGTCAGGGCTCCCTCAAGTTTGGCGTTGAGATCTCTAACTGCCTATAGAGAGTGACCCAAGGCTTCTCCCGAAAACCCTGCCCCAATGGCTGAGGTGATCAAAGAGCTACTGACCATGATGGGAAGGAAAGCAGCTCTTTTTGTGCGCGAGGGCAAGGGAGGTTGGAGCTCAAGGAATTCTGCCATGCTGTAAAGTGTTAACTGTGGGATTAGGGTGACGAGAATGCAGGGTGTATCGGAGTTGAGAGGCAGTGAGTTGAAAAGACTGCCATTACACTAAAAGAAGTGTCCCGGTTGCGTAAAAGTCTTAGAGCCGGAGGTAGGGGTGTAGATAGAGAGGCAGTGAAGTGCGCTGGAGGGGGGTGGAGTTGGGCCTACACAGTGGTGGATGGTGAGATTATCTGCGTATTCTGGTTCCCATAGGGGTATGTCTGCCAGGGGGCAGAGGGGTTGTCTTTCTGCATGGAAGGAGTAGTTGGAAATATTAAGGGGCACGGCGGCCAGCAGTGGGCGCTGTAGTGATGCGCACAAGAAACAATTGGCTGTGTTAAGGGTGTGGTTGAGAAAGATGGTGGTGTCCTGAATGAGCTGTAATGAAGAGTAGGAGAAATGGGAAGAGGGGTGGGGATAAGAAGATGAAGAGGCGCTATCAAGAGTTTGGATAATGACTTTTTCGGAATGTCTGCTATCTGATGCAACTTGAGAGATCTGGGAATGAGAGGGAACATACTTTCGAGAGATATGAAGGGTACTGTGGGGGGTCGAGGACCCCCCGTAGTAAACTGAGGCTGTGACTCTGGCAGCCCATCGAGAGTCCCAGGGATCTGGGATTGATAAGGAGAATGAGCCGTTGGGATATTTCATGAAACGGTTGGAGGAGTAATACTGTGGGTACTGGAAGTTACCCATGTAGTGAATGGCGCAAGACCAGTAGGGACATCTCCTGTAGGTGTCTGGCCATCGCCTGCAATAGGCTTGTTTTTGGTCATAGAGGAAGCAGAGGTAGGGAGAATAAGGGTAGCTGCTAGTGAACACTTCGGTGGAGGGAGGAAAGTGGAGGTATAAAGGCTCAGAGCAGCTTTTCAGAGGGCAGTCTGGTGTGGCAATGAGGGCAGTAACTTTTGTTTGATGCTGTGTGTAAGTCTGTCTGACTTTGAATCGCCATACAAAGGAGGCTGGGGTGGTGGGGAAGACAATAGGAATGAGAAAAAAAAGCGAGAGAGCAGTAAAGGAGGAAAAAGTCATGATTCGGGTATGGATGGCAAAGGGGGTGAATGGGATTTTGGAGGAAAGAGGACAGTAAGGTCAGGAGTCTGGAGGGAGGGAGAGTCTGTAAACTTTTGTAGGTTAAGAGATCTTTTAGGTGATGTGGGGACAGAATGGTAAGTGGCGCTCCGAATGTTAGTTTATGAGCTTCTTTCTGCAAGAGCTGTCCAGCGGCTAATGCCCGTAGGCAGGGGGCCCATCCCCGAACTGTGGGGTCTAATTGCTTGGAGAGATAAGCTACTGGGGCAAAGGATGGGCCATAATATTGGCCTAGGACTCCTAGAGCTTGACTGGACCTCTCATGAATGTATAATGAGAAGGGTTTTGACAAATCAGGGAGATGGAGAGCTGGAGCTTTTACAAGGGCTTGACGGAGCTTAATGAAGGAGTGTCGGGGTGAGGATGATAATGGTTCTTCAGGGGGGCCCTTGCTGAGGTCGTATAGGGGTCTTGCCAACAGGGAGAAGTTAGGGATCCACGCTCTAAAATACCCAGCCAAGCCTAGAAAGGAAAGGATTTCTGTCTTGGTTTTGGGAACGGGCAGGTCAGAGAGGAGTCGTTTTCTGTCTAAGGTAATGGACTTTCTTTGCTGAGACAGAAGGAATCCAAGGTAAGTGACAGAAGGGGAAGAGATTTGAGCTTTGGCAGGGGATACTCGGTAACCTCTGGAAGCTAGAAGGTTAAGTAGAGACGCAGTGTCAAGTTGAGACTGTTCCCACGAGGGACTGCAGAGCAGAAGATCATCTACATATTGTAATAAAGTGGACTCGGGGTGATCATGGTGAAACTGTTTGAGGTCTTGAGCTAGGACTTGTCCAAAAATATGGGGACTATCTCGGAAGCCTTGTGGTAAAACTGTCCAAGTAAGCTGAACAGAATGTCTGGTGTATGGGTCCGTCCAGGTGAAGGCAAAAAAATCTTGGGAGGAGGGGTCTAGGGGAATAGAAAAAAATGCGTCCTTGAGATCTAGGACTGAGAAGTGGGATGCAGAAGCAGGGATCTGCGATAAAAGGGTGTATGGATTTGGAACTAAGGGATGGATAGGGACAACGGCTATGTTGATGAGGCGAAGGTCTTGGACAAGGCGGAAAGATCCGTTGTTTTTTTTAACAGCTAATATGGGGGTATTAAATGGGGAGTGAGTGGGTCTGAGGTAGTTTTTGTTTAAGAGATCTTGAATGATGGGTTGGAGGCCTATGAGGGCTGAAGTGGTTAGGGGGTATTGGGCCTGACAGATATACTGAGAGGGGTCACGTAATTTGATAGAGGCAGGGGGACATAGGGCCATGGAGGGGCTTGTAATGTCCCAAACTTTGGGATTTACAGGGTGTATAAGGGCAGAACTGGAGCTTTCATTGGGTAGAGGGGGGTTGTCGGCTATGAGGGCCATCAGAAAGGGAGTACTGGGGGCTGTGGGATTGGATATAGTTATGGAAACGTGGAGGAGGGAAAGGATGTCCCGTCCTAGTAAAGGGATGGGACACTGGGGCATAACTAGGAAGGAGTGGGAGAAAGGTATGGGACTGTCTAGGATTGTGCATAAAAAGGGGGGGGGTTTTAATGGGAAAATCTGTTTACCTCCTACCCCGACTATAGGAGTAATGGCTGGCGTGGTAGGGCCCCGGTATTCTCGCAAGACTGAGAAGGTGGCTCCTGTATCTAGGAGGAAGGAGATGGGGCGACCGTCTACTGTTAAAGTAACCCTGGGCTCCTGTTTGGTGATGGAAATGGTCGGGCGAGAAGCCCCCGGGCCCCGTCAATCTTCTTCTGCCAGCCCCACTACGGTGGGCTTAGGATGGGGGTTGTTCGTCCAGCCTCCCCTTCGGGTGGTTGGGCAATCAGACCCCCAGTGGCCCTTTT